GAGGCCGAGTCCCACATACAGCAACTAGAAGGAGGTGCAGCTATGACATACAACTATCTACTGGGGCTTTGGAGGGAAAAAATAAATAAAAAATAAAATCTTTAAAAAATAAATAAATAAAATAAAAAGAAAATCACCATTGTGCATCCCCAAATGTAATTACTGAGCCAAAAAAAAGATCATCAATGGATGCTAAAACCATGAGGAAAGGTGGTAGGGTAACAGGATATTCTCATATGGCAAAATAACACCCTACAGACAACTGCGAAGAGAAAAAAAAATCTAATTTTACAATGGAGAGATCTAGAGATCATCCAACTTAGCACTATCAGTGGGACAATCTGACATTCTGGACCTTCTGATATGTTGCAATATGAAGTTGAGAGCATCACCTATGACATCCTCTTGTCAAAAATGTTTTAAGTGGAATCTACTTGAGCCTTTAGATTTACCTTCCAATTTACAGGAAATACAGGGAGTAGAAGAACAAATAAAATGATACCATAAGAAACAATCAGACAAATCCAGAATATGGGACACTCCACAAGAAATTAGCTCAGTCTCTTTAAAAATTCTGTGTCATGAAAAAAATGTGAGGTGTTTGATTTTAGATCTGAAAGAGATTAAAGATTTTTGACAACTAAAGGTAATGTATGAACCTTGACTGGATACTGTTTTTGAAAAAACCAGCTATAAACGACAATTTCAATTTGGCTTAGACATTAGGAAACCATTATTAATTTTTTTAAGGAATGAAAATAGTATTGTGGTTAAAATGATCTTATTCTTGAGAGATACACACTTAAATATTTAGGAGTGAAAGGTTGTGATGTCTGCAATTTACTTTCACACAGCTTAGCAGAAAACCCTAACCATATATATAATTATATACTAAATATTATTTTTTCATTCAACATACATCAATATACACAGATTTTAGAATGTTAACATTTGTTGAATTGGGTATATGGTTTGTTCATTGTACTATCCTTTCAACTTTTTGCTATGTTTCAAATGCTTCTTTATAGAAAACTGAGGAGAAAACACTGTACAGACTCTGGGTCTCACCTCTGGCATCTGGGTCTTTAAAAGACCACTGGTGACTGATGCACCCTCAGGGTTGAGAACCACTGTTTCAGTGCCCACATTGAGCATGAAACTGAGGTTTGAAGAGCTGAAATGACTTTCCAAGGGACAGATCAAACACTAGAATTCATGTTCCTTGGCTTCCAGTCCTGTGTTCTTTTCTTACAAATTCTCTAAAGAATTTATAAAATCCTCTAAAGAATTTATAAAATCTCTCAAATTCTCTTCCTAGATAAGAAACCTCACCCTCTTGAACACCTGAAGCTCTCATTTGTCAGCAGCTGAACTGCAGAAGCTAAGGAAGGATTTGGGCAGCTAGAGGGTACTCAGTTGTTGCAGTCAGGTTATGGGAATCAAAAATTATTAGAGGGGACAGAAACCATTAGAGGTACTAAGGGCAAGGACAGTCCTAATTTTAAAAATTGGGTCGTATTGTATTGGAGAGCTAAATTTTCTCTTTTAAATAATTTTATTACTTTCAGTGAGGTTAATCCATAAGATTGAATCTTGTTTCACATGTTTGTAAGATTTAATATATAGATGAAATCACAGGTTAGAAAAAAATCCAAAAGTCCTGATTATTAGTTGGGAAATGAGGTTACCGATGAAGTCCCTGGTGTTGAATGAGCCCAAGTTCCTTGCAGAGGCATGAAGAATTTAACATGGCAAAGTGGTTAGGTCCCAATGTCTAGTGGGAAACTCACGAGTCTTTGCAGTCAGACAAGATCTGGGTTCAAATTCTGACTCTGCCACTTACTAGTTTTGTGACTAGGAACTAGGGGTTCCTAACTCCGAAGGGACTGACAAGGGATCTTAACCAGGTGGAGAGGGAGTAGCCTCGGGGGAGGCAAAAGAAGGCAACATTTTAAGGAAATATGCGAGATCCTGACAGCCTGGAGTGGCTGAGGAATATATACAGTTTCTGTGGCTTTAATGTAGGTGGTTGCGATTATTTAGTGCAACAAGTATGGAAAGCACCCAACTCTGACCCAGAAGTAGGAGTCAGCGCCTGGGGCGCAAACCCTGAGCGCTAACAAAGTCCCTCTCCAAAGGGAAAGGAGACTCCAACCTCCAACACCATGAAGGCAAAACAGCCAGCGTGTCAAGAACTCAGAAAAGACGCAGGTTCGGAAACAGAGGGCGGGCGAGGCTGCTGGCAACTCCCGGACGTCCTCTTCCGGAACAAACCTGTGCTCCGGAAGCAGTTGTTAGTTGAGGGCCTTTGGGCTCGTTACGGAGACTGCGGGGGTCCTATCGCCATGTTCCTGTCCGCGGTCTCCTGTAAGTGGGGCTGGAGGCAGCGGCGGCAGGGCCTGCGGCCAGGGCGGGAGGCCGTGACAGGCAGGCCGCGGGACGATGCGCGGCGCGGTGTGCGCGCTGGCCGGGAAGCTGCGGCCTTCCCAGGCCTTCAGGACTACAGCGTCCGGCATGCCCCGCGGCGCGCCTGTCTGCGGGGCGAGTGGGTCCTGGGGGTCTGCGGTGCTAGTACTAGATTCAGTTGCGGTTGGCAGGGACTGTTGAGTCGGGTCAGCAGGAGTGGGGAGCTTTCTCCCGCCCTCCCTAGGGATGTGTGAGTAGAATCACTGCATGTCCGAACTGGGAAAAACCTCCGAATTTCTAGACCCCTCGTTTCGAACTCTAAAGACGAGGAGACGGCTTCGGAGAGGGGCGGTGATTTACCCTGGGATCTACAGCAGGGCTGGGAAAGAAGTCCTCTGGCTCCCAAGACATGCTCTTCCCTGCACCAGGCTGACTTCCCGGTTAGATTTAGTTTCCCTTCTCCTGATGGTTGTTGTAGTTTGCATAGGTTAACTTGTCAAACAGGAGGCTTGTTCCAGTGCAAATATTTACACCTCAGAAGAGGGACAAATGGAGCAGATCTTACTTTAAAAAGATTTAGAGGGTAACCCAGTCCAACTGAAAAGAGACTATGCAAAGCATTACATTACAGAATTGTGTTGGTCTGATTGAATCTTTTTATCTTCCTTCTATAAAATCCTAACGGGATCCCTAATAGCTAGGGAGTAGTTACTTGAGTGACAACACATGGCACACTTCATGACTTAAATATTTTTGGTTATTACTGACATTTATATGAACTTTGCATAAGAAAGGTAATAAATTGATATTTTTCTTTTCTCTTCCAACTTTTCCTCTCTACAAAAAGTTGCCAAGAGCAAGTCAAAGTAAGTAAAGGTTTTTCTTTTTTTAAACTTTACTTGTTTGTGTTAGATGTGTTAGTTCAGTCCCTGCCAGTACATCGTTATATTAAACTAAGCATTTGGCATCGATTTTCTAAAAGTTGGTTTGAGGATTACTTATTTGATGAATTATTTTGGCCCTATGAACTTTTTCAAAAAATATTTTCCCTCCTCAACTGACATACTTAAGTGAAGATTCAAATACTTTACTTAAAGGAGCTCTTGTTGTCTTGTTCCTAGACAAACCATTAGAGTCCCCGTGCTTTCTTTGGACTGTCACCATATTTCTGTTTCCTCAAATTGAGGACCATGGGCCATTTGTCTGGAGCCTGCTACTGGAATCTAGCAGAACTAGTGTGGTTTGATTAAACCATAGAGCCTGTTTTAATGAGTTTTATAATCCTTTGCATTCATGGTATAAGCATTTCAAAAATAGCAAACATAAAGATTCCATGCTATACCAGAGAGACTATAAATACCAAACCAGTGTCTCAAAATAAATTTTGTAGACAATAACTAAAGTAAGATTTTCTGTGTTAAAAATAGGAAAATTCTAAAGCAGCCTTTGGTTAAAACCCAAGATACACCACAAATCCTTAAAACTAGGTTTTTTGGATTAAAGTTAATGAAAAATATGTGTGTTAGTGTTTTTCCCCCAATATATTTTGATTCACGTAGCTTTTCCCACAGTCCATTTATTCATGTTAGAATTTCCCACCCCCAGGGTCTGCAGGAATCGCCTATGGCTTTGGTTTCTGTAGAGGTACTCCCAACCTCTCATGTTCTTTGTATCCTTCTTGTGACATTTGTCACATACATCTTGCCTTATAGACCTTGTGTACACAACTCACTTTCCACACTATACTGTTAGTTCCTCCAGGGCGCAGGTGCAGCCTTATAGAGCTTTGCATTTCCCATAGTGCTTTCCACAGAGGAAGCGCTTACTAGGTATTTGTTAGCTCTTTTTGAATGAATGACTAATTATTGTCTATCTTAATTACCCAACAAATAATTGTGCGCCTCTTATGTATGAGGCACTGTGCTGAACATTGAAAGGGATGCAGAGATGTGTAATATATCTTAGATGCTTCAGATTCTTTTTGGAATTAGAAGAGAAATAAAACAGCATGGTTTACATAGGGAGACAGGACACATGAAAAAGTAACAAACAGTACAATGAATTAAAAGGTCCATGAAGCAAACCTGAACTTTATGTTTTGGGCGACCATCACTTAAATGAAATATGAAGGGGAACAAGGCTTTGCGCACTAGCAAGGTTAAAGTTCCAATTTCTTTATTTTATCCCTTCTGGATTTTACTCTTACCGCTCATCCCTGGAGGATAGGGTTCCTCTGAGACAGCCGTCTTTATGATTCCCTGCCTGGCCAGCAAGGGTTACCAGTACTTTTATATTTTGCCCCCTCCTGACTTCTTCTGAGAGATGTGTGTCTGAGTTTAGTCCCACAACGTGGTTTGATTGTTCTTGCTGCTTTTGTTAGGTCATTACCAAGGTACTCTGTGTAATGGAACAAACCTTGGGCATCAAACCCTTTGAAACTGTGGTTTATGGAAAACAAGCTGTCTTAGAACTGAACCTTCTTAAGGCCAAGTGATGTCCCACAACTAATACTACTGTATAGGGTTCTCAAAATGTGCCATCCCCCCATGACTGATTATAGGCTATTTCTTCAGCTTGTAACAGCTTACTTTTTAATTTTAGAACCATCCTGGTGAAAATGATGAGCCAAGCTGGGACAGGTTTCTCCTTCAACACTAAGAGAAGCCGACTGCGGGAGAAACTGACTCTATTGCATTATGATCCAGTTGGTAAGATTCAGAGAAGTTACTCCAGAGTAAATTCAAATGCTTTCAAGGCCTGTTGCCCTTTCCAGACTGATGCTGAACATGTCTGGTGGTTTTGTGGCCTCTTTGACACCGTAGCATTCATTCAGTGAGTATGTATTGAATGTTTGCTATGGTGCCAGTTACTGTCCCTGGTGCTGGGATACACCAGGACACCAGACAGACTCAGTCCCTCCACTCTTGGCACTTACAGTCTGGTTTGGACGGGAGAGAGAAAAAGAAAAGATGACAAATTATGCTAAGTGCTATGAGAGAAACAAACAGGATGCTGAGATATATTATGAAGTGGGGGGAGGTGGGTCCCACCTTTACCCTGTCCTTTAGATAGAATAGATCAGAGAAAGTCTCTCTAGGAGGAGATAGTTAACCAATGATCTGAAGGTGAGAAACCAGCCGTGTAAAGAGAGCAGGCAATATTGTTCTGGAAACAGGGAAGAGTATCTTGAGAAAGGGACGGAATGTTCTCCTGGGACCATCTGTCCAACAGTGGCAAGTAATTAGGTCCAGATTTGAGTTAAAGGAGTATGGTGTCTATATATTAGTGCTGGAGGGTAGGGATTTCATTTTCCATTTTCTACCATCTGTTAAAATGCTGTAATAAATGGTAACTTTAAATGGTCTCAATAGATAGAAGTATTTGTCTAAAAGAGACAAGTGTTCCCAAGGCCAGATTGCCTGCTCACGAAGAAGAGTCAACACCTGATGGCCATTGGTTGAAGCCCATCCTGTTTTTGGATTTCATGAGCAGATTTATGCAAAATAAACTAGCAAACAAATTGTTTTAAGACTCTGGGCCATTGATTTTATTTTTGTGCCCTTGCTTCTAAATAGTCCCTTTATAATTGCTTCTTAATGAGGGCTGTACTGGAGCTTCTGGGTTGGTGAACACGTGGAGGTTTGGGGATGGTGGCATGGAAGCTCTGTGCCTCTTCCCCATACCTTGCCGTATGCATCACTTCTATCTGGCTGTTCCTGAGTTACTATCACCAGGTAGATAGGATCAAAATTGAGTTGAATTGTAAGACACCCAGTTGGTGATCAGAATTGGATTTGGTACCAGAATCTTATTTTCCAAAATTAATCCATTATATAATGAAAAACTGGCACTTAACCTCATAATCAGCTATTTAACTAAGAACAAGGACTCATAGACTCTTTTTTTTTTTTTTTTTGTGAGGAAGATCAGCCCTGAGCTAACATCATGCTAATCCTTCTCTTTTTGCTGAGGAAGGCCGGCTCTGAGCTAACATCTATTGCCAATCCTCCTCCTTTTTTTCCCCCAAAGCCCTAGTAGATAGTTGTATGTCATAGTTGCACATCCTTCTAGTTGCTGTATGTGGGACGCGGCCTCAGCATGGCCGGAGAAGTCGTGCGTCGGTACGTGCCCGGGATCCGAACCCGGGCTGCCAGTAGCGGAGCGCATGCACTTAACCGCTAAGCCATGGGGCCAGCCCCATCACAGACTGTTGCTTCTGGCCAAGATGGAGTAATAGGGACTGAATTTACCTTCCCACCTGAAACAACACCAACGGAAGGATAATAATAGGGAATAAAAGACAGTGATTCCTGAGAGAAAGGAAACAAACTAGTGCTTGTGAATAACTAGACAGAATGGAAAAATTCTGCCTTCTTTGCTTACCTATACAAGTCTTCATTTCTTCGGATGCCATGGATCCATCATAACACAAGCACCTGTACTCTTCCAGGCAATCTGAACCCTATTTTATAGATGAGGAATCTGATCCCAAGAATTTTAATCAAGGACACACAGCTAAAATATGTGACAGAACAAAGATTTGAACTCAGGACTGTGTGACTCCAAAGCCCAGGCCCTGAACCATTCTACATAGGGACCTTGTTATTGAGCGATTTCACAGGGGGCTAAAAACTACTTACTGGTGACCTACCATGACCTCTGGTTGGGCAGTAGCTACATTCATAGCTGCCATGAGAATTTGTACAGAAGGTCTCACAATCACCATTCATTGTGCTGCGTGCATCAGTGTCTAAGAAAAATAAAAATATCACCTTCAAAAAAAAAAAGGTCATACCAATGTGAGAAGGCATTTAAAAAGGCTCTGAGAAGCATAGTTGTCAGCTTAAAATTATGTGAGTTCCATTCTTTAACAGAAATAAAGTTCCCTGCTGTTTTAATGGTGTTAAAATTTCTGGTCATTCTTTATCATAATAAAAAGGGAATTCTAGGTTTGTACCTGATGATTAGAAGTCTGAATTTCAGGATGATACCTCATATGGTGGAAAAATCACTAGAGTGATAAGGTATGTGTCTAGTCTGTTTGGGTTGCTATAACAAAATACCACAGACTGGGTGGCTTATAAACAACAGAAATTTATTTCTCAGAGTTCTGGGGCCTGGGAAGTCCAAAGTCAAGGTGCCAGCATAGTTGCTTTCTGATGAGGGCCCTCTTCCTGGTTCATAGCTGATGCCTTCTCACGTGTCCTCACATGGTGGAAGGGCAAGCAAGTTCTATGGTGTCTCTTTTATAAGAGCATTAATCCCATTCATGAAGTCTCCACCCTCACGACCAAAGCACCTCCCAAAGGCCCCACCACTTAATGCCATCTTCTTTGAGGGTTAGGATTTCAACATGAATTTGGGGGGATACAAACATTCAGACCATACCAATATGAGATTGGATTGGTGTGGTGTTTTCCTTCTTCTGATTTCTTTGTATCAGCTGGTGAAAACTCAAAGTGATGAACTTTACAATCAAGTAATTGTTTTTCTAGCATTTTAGCTCCTTTAGAGTTTATTTTTAGGAACTTGTACAACATTGATAGATGCCGATTGCATAACTTTCTATGATGTATTGGGATTTTCATCCTTAGTATGGAGGTATTAGGAACTTATTATTTGTCAGATTGATTTAAGTTTTGAGATTGGGAAAGGATACAACCATGAACAGTTCTGATCATAAGTTGAAAGTGGGAGAAGTATTCATATATAAATTTCAAACAGATGATTAGAACTTTTCTGATAAGGAATGGTCTGAGCCTTGACAGCACAACTTTGTCTTTTCTGAAGAAGAGAATGTTCTGGGACAGCAGACTCCTTGGCTATCTGCCCACCTACTGAATGCCCTGCAGGCTTGTGTGATGATGTTTGCCTTGGGGCCTGCCCCATAGCCCAGGGTTCCAAATAGCTTGGCAGTTCTCCCAGCATATCTCACTGCAGTGAGTACATGGTTAGTTTAAGGGTAATGTTTTGTTAGTCTGCTTTATGAAGGAAGTCAGGTAAGGAAATGGAAAAAATCCCAATTATTTGAGCATTTCACAGTATAATCTATGGCTAGAATCAAACTCCTTTTCCTCATAAAACTAGATGCTAATTTCCAAGGAGGAAAGATTAAAGGCCAAAGCATAAGCTTATTAAACTTTGTTAAATATATGAAAGTTTATCATAAAGAAAATGAAAACTTGTCAGTTTTAATTCCTTGGATGACTAAACAAGACAGTATAGACTTTAATTGAAGCAGAATAGATTTAGGTTAGATGTAGGGAAAGAACTTGACAGATTCATTCTTCTATGAATTAAGTGGCAAATATTTTGACAGAAAATTAATGTATGTTTATGATTGTGGATAGCAGTGTGTCATTTCAACTCAACTAACATGTGTTGAGTGTTCACTGTGTATCTGGCAACAACCCTGTGAGGGAGTAGGAGTTATCCTGCTCATAGGAAAGGAAACTGAAGGTAGACTATTTTGAGAAATTTGCCCAGGGACTCCCAGCAGATAAATGGCAGAGCCAAGGTTTGAACCCAAAGTTTCTGACTCCAGGCGCCTTATTCTTTCTATTACATGGAGCCAAATTAATTTTCCTAATTTTTTCTTTTTTTTTTTTTTTTAAATCAGGACCTTCCCCTACAGGCAGCCTAGCATTCAAGCCATGGAGCCCCACTGTCATGCCTGCCTCCTACCAACATTCCTCTACATCAGATGCCCATTGCTGTTTTCGTTCATCCAAATGCCGCTCCCTCTTCAGGGGCCCAACTTGACCCTCCGGAGGTGTTCCCTTACCATTCCTGTCCCCGTTGATCTTTAGGTTCTATGGGCTCACTGGACGTTCATATAGGCACCTCATGATCTACTGATGGATTAAGTCAGGGACTGTTCTGACACTTTCGTAAACTCCACATTGCCTAACGACACTTTCGTAAACTCCACATTGCCTAACAGTTCAGTGGACTTAAATATTTATTCTTTGAATTAAGAGAATGAATGCAGTGAATGAATCAGAATTTTCATGAATAAAGCCTTACTTTACTAATCTTAGTCACTCCTGTTCAGGATCATTTATATAGTCTCTTGATTGGTTATCAGAGAGACAAGTTCTTTTGTTTACCCATTTTTTAGTTCCATGTAGAAAAACATGGGGGAAATATTTCTTGCAATGAATAACATTGATGGGAAACTATTTTGATTCTTTACTACCATCTTATAATGCTTTGTAGTTCTCCTTGGACTTTGAAGGAGCATCAGTCCTATTTATATTTAATATTAGATGATCTGAAGTATATTAAACAATCATATACAATGTAATATGTATATTTTATTTTTATTCATATTATAGATAAAATTCTATTGACTGATTAATGGTTCTTAAATCCAGTTGCCCATCAGAATCATCTGAGGATTTTTAAAAATGTCGACTTCCAGTCTCACTCGAGATGTGCTGAACTAGAATTAGGGTAGGGGTGGAGGTGAGAAGTCAGAATGGATTTAAATAAGCTCCCTAGCTAATTCTTAATCATAGACAGTTTGGGAATCTCATATACACAGTGTCTGTATTGATTGTAGAAGAAGAAGAATAAAAACATAGCTAAAATCTTTGTATGCTAGGGATAAGTGAGGGGTTGTTATGTCATAGTCCTTTGAGTACCTGGATCTTCCTGGGTGCGTTGTGGGTTTTTTTGGCAAAGAAGTAGGTTGTGTGTGTGTGTGTGTGTGTGAGTGAGTCGGAGAGGGAGAGGGAGAGGGCGAGAGAGAGAGAGGTTGGAAGTTATGGAGTGCTGTAAGGCATTATAGGAACTATGAAAACCTTATTGCCCAGCATCTAGTCTCCAGTCTTTCATCCAGGCAGTTAGCACTTTTGTTTTGGTTTTGTTTTATAACTGTACTCTGTTATATTTACAATAATGAGATTTTGGTTATAATATTCATTCTATTACCAAACTAGAAAATCCATATTTGGTTATGTTAAACCTTCTCTGGAAACTACCAGGTTTAATATGTACTTACTCTTTCAGCCAGGCTGGCTTTTATTCTGTGGTCTGCTCAGTTCTTACTGCTGTTTTTCTGGAGTCCAGCTCCCAGTCTGCCCTTGCTTACCTCCTACAAGAGCGGACATTAACTGGGTGAAGACATTGAGTGTTCTCCATTTTTTGCTCCTAATTTTCTTTTTTGAATATTTCACATTGGTTGAAATATGACCTTGTGGGGCACCAAGGATGCCACTGATTGGTTGGGATCTTTCCTTGTTTTCCTTCTCATTTTCTCTGGCCTCTGGGATTGAAGAACTGAGTTTGTAAACCAGCTCTATCATCATGTCAAAGGAATATTAAAATAAGAGAAAGGAGAGGGCTCATGTTCTCATATGTATTATTTTTAAAAAATCGTGATGATACTTTTTAGTTTTCTGCTACAACCCATTTTTCTTCTCCTACAGTGAGAAAAAAAGTCCTCTTTGTGGAACAGAAAAAAATACGCTCCCTCTAAACAATGGATTGAAAATGAATTTGATTTATAAATAAGAAGACTGAGGGCGGGACACTGATTCAGAAATTCTGGAGCATGTAATAAAAGAAGAGGAAATGGCACGGAATCACTGCCTCCTGTGATTTGAAGGCCATTGTGAAGGAAAACAATGCAGTGAAAGAAAGTTCTTCATATTAGGACATATATCATTGCATCACATTTATTTATCTTTCTGGATATTTTTATAGCCCTTAATAAAACATTAAAATAGCCTGTGCTATTGTCTCTTAGTGATGTTTTCCCCTACTATTTGAAATAAAAAAACCAAGTACTTACTAAAAAATACCATTGTTTCATATAAGAGAAATTTTTCCATAATGAGACTTGTGCAATAGTTTCCAGTTTGCTCCTCCTTGTGCTTCATAGAAAAGGCAGAGTCACACTCCAGTGTGATCTTGAAAAAACTTCCGTGTAATAACAGAGATGGCAAGGGTCAACAGGAAAAAGAAGGGAGCCAGCCTCGTAACAAAAGAAACCATGAGCACTTTTATTTTTGTTTCTTGCTTATATAATTAGGAAAAATGCCATTGGTCCATATTCTCAAACTCAGGTCACCAAAGCAGTATTTAGGATTTTCTAGGAATGCTTTGGACTCCTTTATCTCCTAGATTTTTTTTTTTTTTTTAAATAAGAGGAGCTATAGTGCATTTCCATAAAGCCTCGGGCTTCTGGGGCATGGCAGTACCAAATAGCTAACTAGCTTGGAAATTCCACTGATAATCCCTAATGTTCAGGTAAGGACTCCTGCTCTACCCAGATCTATATACTTTCTCACTCAAGCTATTGTTTCCCACAGATTTTCAAAATTGCTCAGTTTTCTCCTTATCAAATTTCTGCCTGAAGGTAAGAAGGATCAGCTTAGATTTTGTGCCCTGCTGGTTCATGTCCTGACCCATTTAAAGCATTTATATGGGAGAATGATAGAGGGCCCACCATGGCCACAAGCATTAAGCAAGCAATGCTTTTCCGAAATAACAGGTGTTCCCTCCCCATGGCTCAATGTGTCTCCGGAGGAAATGCAAGAGCAGCTCTCTGGAAATGGAATTAGATGTAGACAGTTGTTGAGACTTAGAGGCTTGTGGCATTATAGTCAGTCAGCTATTTTCTGGTGTCTTTTGTTAAAGCTCTGGTTCAAAGCAATAATAAGTGAGATCTTGGCTATTTTTAGGCTGAAACTATACACAATGGTCTTGGGTTATAAGAAAAATCCTTCACTTGATCCTAGCTAAGCCAAGCCTGATGTAAAGGGTCTGTGACATGCATGAACCATCTTTAAAAAAATAAAAATTAAAATCTGGCTTAACAAATGACTTGTCTATTCAGCACATGGGCTGAATGTGGCCCACAGGTGGTGTTTACATTTTTAAACAAATCAGTTGCTGATACTTAAACACTGAAAAATTTCAATAAACATCGAAACTTCTGGCTTCTCTTGCAAAACCAGAGGCTTTGATGTCACTAAGCTAAAGCTGGATATCAGCCGCCTCTCTTAGGAGCCGCTTGAGTGGTCCAATTCATGTGTCCCCTTCCCTTATTTAACATTCTCTGTTCGGACTCTAGACACTTGTCCACAGCGCCTGTTCTGTGGTGTACATAGAAAATTCGTGATCTGTTGGCAATAGTTTGCTGGTTCGTAAATTGTGGTAATGTTTATCCAGATCCTGGTCAGGGAATCCTTAATTCTGGTTGGCTCTTGAAAATGCATGAAAAGCAAAGAAGTCATCATTATAAAAAAATGAAAGCTTGAGGTTGACTTAGTAAATGAACATAATATTTGCAAAGAAAGAAGAGGACATTTTACAGTAAGATGCTAGCTAAGAGTGGCCACCCCCCCTCCAGGTACATTTTATTTCCAGGTATATTTATTTTCGGGTTAATAGCAATCAAAACAGATCAAATGGCAGGTCTTTTTTGTATGGATAAGATGACTGTGTCCCTGCAGCCTGGACACTGACTGCTGCAATGAAATTGGATCTCTTGAGCATTTCTTCCAAGGACAGATTTGGGTAGTAAGCCAGGTAGAAGGCCAAAGCTCCCACAAAACTGTCACCAGCACCCTGTAATTAAAAGCACAGTTGTGGAGATTAAGCATGTAGTCATCTGTTGCCCAAACTTTTTAAAAAATATTTAGAAACACTATTTTAGGATAGTTTTAGATTTACAGCAAAGGTAAAAGGATAGTACAGCGAGTTTCCATATACCCCACACCCAGTTCTGTTAACATCTCACATTCCTGTGGTCATTTGTCACAACTAATGAAATAATATTGATATATTATTAACTGGGCTCCATACTTTATTTGAATTTTACTAGTTTTGCTTAATGTTCTTTTTCTTTCCCAAGATCTCATCCAGGATACCATATTACATTTAGTTGCCATGTCTCCTTGGACTCCTGTAGACTCTGACAGTTTCTTAAGACATTTTTTGTTTCTGATGAACTTGATGGGTTTAAGGAGGACTGGTCAGGTATTTTGTAGAATGTACCTCAATTGGGATATGTCTGTTTTCCTCATGGTTAGGCTGTGGTTATGGTTTTTGGGATGAAGACCATAGAGGTGAAGTGTCATACTCTTATTCATTATATCAAGGTTACACACTATCAACATGACAGCACTGATGATGTTAATCTCTATCACTCGGCTAAGGTAGTCTTTGCCAGGTTTCTCCACTGTCAAGTTACTCTCCTCCCTCTTTTCTTACTGTATTCTTTGGAAGCAAATCACTAAGTGTAGTCTACAATTAAGGAGTTGAGTGGAGTACCTACATAAATTATTTGGAATTCTTCTCTGTTGGAGATTTGTCTGTTCCCCCCTGCCCCATTTGGTTCTTCAATTATTTATATCCGTATGAACTCATGGATATTTATTTTATTCTTTGGGCCATAATCCAATACTACATTATTTATTTTGTTGCTCAAATTTTCCAGCTTTGGCCATTGGGAGCTCTTTCATTTGGCTTCTGTGTCCCTTTGACATACTCCCAATCATTTTGTTTTTTGAGCACTTTCTTTCTAACATTATAAGATGCTCCAGGCCCATTTTTTATATTCTCTGCCCTAGCCCTAGAATTAGCCATTTCTCTATTAAAAATGCGTGCAGAGGGGCCAGCCTGGTGGCGTAGCAGCTAAGTTCACACGTTCTGCTTCAGCAGCCAGGGGTTCGCGGGTTTGGATCCTGGGCGTGGACCTACTTACAGCTCATCCAGCCAAGCTGAGGCAGCGTCCCACATAGAAGAGCTACACCTCTACAACTATGATATACAACTACGTATGGGGGCTTTGGGGAGAAAAAAGAAAAAGAGGAAGATTGGCAACAGATGTTAGCGCAGGGCCAATCTTCTTCAAAAGAAAATGTGCTTTAAAAAAAAATGCATGCAGAAAGTGGTGAGAGCTATTTAGATGTTATTTTCAAACTAAATACAGGGACAAAAAAGGTTTCTCTCCATTTTCTCTGAAGCTCTCAAGGTCCGAGTTGGTGAAGGCCATGTAGGGACCCGTAGAAATAGAGAACAATAAAGAAAGTCTGTTGACCTCTGCCTTCAGGCAGGGCAATACCTAGTCATGTGTTCATCTAACAAATGTATTTAAAATAATTTAAATGTGGTTACACAATCTTACTTGAAAAATCATTCTGGTATTTAACAACTTTCAGCGTCATTTTCCAGTTTTTCCCGGTTTGCTCATTCCTTAGACCCAAGAGCTTTCATAACAAATCTTGAGGCTATACTTCAGCCTTTATAAAGGGCATTGGCATGCAAGATTGCTTCAGTTGAAATTAAAGTATTTAATGAGCCATGTGCCTAGCACAGTGATGAGTACAAGAAAAAGGACTAAAATCTATTGTGGATTAAATGCTAAATAATGTGGCAGAGTTTATAAATGCTGTTGGATTTTAAGAAAGGGTTTGAAGAAAGCTTCCCTGAAAAGGGAGTCCTCACAGAATGAGACAGATTTATAGAGAGAAGGAAAGCCTCAAAGAACAAAGACACAGGAGGAGGAAGGAACAGAGTGAGCTCATGGGACAGTGAATGGCTTTAAGGAGAATGATATTTCCCCTTGTTTACACAGATAAAGCCGTCAAAATATTAAACTTGCCAAGGAGTCATAGTAACGCAGGTGTGAATTCAACACTTTCCTTCCTCCCATAAATGTTTTCTGAGTGCCTAAAATGTGTCAGGCACTATGCTAGGTGCTTTGCAATTGTTTATCAGTCTTTCCTGACAGAAACAATGGAAAAAGAGACAGACGTGGTTCCTGCCTTCCCTCAGTTTACAGCATAGCAAGGCAACAAGAGAAAGGTCTGAAACCAGAGACATTATGAGCTGGGTGGAGGGTGTATTACGAAAACATGGAAAATGCCACAAGATATGAAGAGTTATGGCAAACTCTAAGATTCCAAGTCTTGATTCCTACTTACATCTTATACAAAATTAAATTCCATGTAGATTTAAGCCATGAATGTAAAACATAAAACAGTAACATAATAAAATGAAAATTTAGATGAATATTTGTATAATCCCAAGCAAGTCAGTAAACCCAAAAGCCATAATGAAAAAAGAACAGATTTTAATTTTATAAAAATTTTTTAAAATTATATGTAAAAAGACACTGTAAGTAAAGCCAAATTAAAAAGCACAGATTTCAGGGCCGGCCCCGTGGCTTAGCGGTTAAGTGTGCGTGCTCTGCTGCTGGCGGCCCGGGTTCAGATCCTGGGTGTGCACCGACGCACCGCTTCTCCGGCCATGCTGAGGCCGCGTCCCACATACAGCAACTAGAAGGATGTGCAGCTATGACATACAACTATCTACTGGGACTTTGGGGGAAAAAATAAATAAATAAAAATTTAAAAAGCACAGATTTGGTGAAAATTCTTGCAATACATATGACATATTCCTAATAGTCAAAGAACACCTTCAAATTGCTAAGAAAAAGGCAAATCCAGGATAAAAATGGACATAAGATATATGTCTGCAATTTCAGAAAAATAAATGTAAATGGTCAATAAACAATAAACATATGAAAAGATGCTCAATTTCAGCAAAGAAAATGCAAATTAAAATAACATTAGGAATGTGGAAGAGTAATGCAGTATTTGTTAAAATAAAAGATGTGTATGTCCTTTGACTCAGCAATCCTGTGTCTGGAAATCTCGTATGGAAGTAAAAGCTCCTATAAGATGGGGATATGTAAAGATGCTTACAGCTGCATTGTTTCCAAAGGCAAAAAACTGGAAAAAACGTGATTGTCTAGGAAATAGGAGAATCGATGAATAAACTTTGGTACATTCTTACCATGGAAAAGTATGCAGCTATTAATAAGAAAAAGTTAGAACTCTATGCACATACCTAAAGAAATGTCAATTAGTTAAGCCAAAAAAGGAGTTTCAGCGTCAGGATCCCATTTTGGGGGGAAAAAACAGAAGAGAGAAAAAACAAAAACACCTATGTATATGAGTATATGTATATTTTCTTTTTTAAGAATACAGAGAAAAATGAGGAAGGATATGTACCAAATTGTTAATATTTCATTCTCTTATTTGCAAGGAATGGGGGCAATATTTTTTTTCTTTATGTGCTTTTACGTTATTGTTTAAGCTTATTATTTAAGCTTATTGTTATAAGCTTTTAATATTTTTCAAAAAATTTAAGAGACTAAAAATATTTCATGAATAGGTAAGCCACGCTCCTGTGCCTCTCTCACCTTTGACTTGCAGTCTGACCAGAGCAAAGGCAAAGGGCTGAAGGCAAACATTCTTGCATCACTGACAGAAATCAATTTTATATACTCCTGTTGGCTAGTGGGTATTTGGCTGCAGACAAGATTTTTAAGAAAGTTTAAAAAGCATTATACCTATGTCTGAAAAGACTCTATGGAAATCACTTAGATTGCTTCCCATGGTAGCCAAAGCCAGGGAAGCACAGTGCTTGTTAGAACTGTGTGTGTTGGAAGCACTAGTTAGGCAACGATGATTTCACAACTTGGTTTCCCTTCATTCTTAGTGCTATAACACTGTGTTGGTAGAGACAGCAAAGGTTAGTCTTTCCTGTATTAAAAATAGGGAGTTTCCTCACAAAGAAAACTCTAAACTAGATGGCTTCACTGGTAAATTCTAGCAAATGTTTAAATAAGAAATAATATTAATTCTACCCAAATTCTTTCAGAAAATAGAAGAGTCAAGGGAACACTTACAAATCATTTTGTAAGGCCAGCATTACTGTGATACCAAAACCAGACAATGACATTACAAGAAAAAAAAAAAAAACCAAAAAAACAGATCAATATCCCTCATGAATGTAGATGCAAAAATCTGAAAAAATTTTAGCAAATTGAATAATAAGAAATTCAGCAAAAAATAAAAATAAAATATTTTATAATAAAAATTCAGCAAATTTGGAATAGAAGGTATAACTTGATCTTGATAAAGAGCATTTATGAAAAATCTACAGTTAACATCATACTTAATGAGAAAGACTGAATGCTTTTCCCCTAGTATTGGGAACAAATCAAGGATGTCTGTTCTTACTACTTCTATTCAACATCATACTGTATTGCCTAGCCAGTGCAATAAAACAAGAAAAAGAAAGAAAAGGCATACAGATTTGAAAGGAAGAAGTAAAACTCTTTTTCTTTGCAGATGGCATAATCACCTACGTAGGAAATCCTAAGAAATCAGCATAAAAGCTAGTAGAAATAGTAGGTTTAGCAAAGTAACAGGATGTAAGGTCAATATAAAAAAATCTATTGTATTTCTATATACTAGCAATGAACAATATGAAATTTAAATGATCAAAACAGTACCATTTACAATAGGATCAAAAACAGGAAGTATTTAGGGTTAAATTTAACTGAATATGTAGGGTTAAATTTAACTTACTATAGAAAGAAAAAGAAATTAAAGAAAACTTTCATAAATAGCGAGATAAACCATGTTGATGAATTGGAAAAATCAATATTGTTAAGATGTCAATTCTCCCTAAACTGATCTATAGATTCAGTGCAATTCCAATAAAAATCCCAGCTGGCAATTTTTAGAAATTGGTAAACTGGTTCTAAAATT